TAACATTGTTGCACCAGTGTATGGAGAATGCGACTTGAAGCTGTTAACATTGTTTCACCACTGTATGGAGACTGCGACTTGGAGCTATTAACATTGCTACACCAGTGTATGGAGAATGCGACTTGAAGCTATTAAGTACGGAGAATGCGACTTGGAGCTGCTAACATTGTTGCACCAGTGTATGGAGAATGCGACTTGAAGCTGTTAACATTGTTTCACCACTGTATGGAGACTGCGACTTGGAGCTATTAACATTGCTACACCAGTGTATGGAGAATGCGACTTGAAGCTATTAAGTACGGAGAATGCGACTTGGAGCTGCTAACATTGTTGCACCAGTGTATGGAGAATGCGACTTGTGTTAACATTGCACACCAGTATGGAGAATGCGACTTGGAGAACATTGCTATGGAGAATGCGAAGCTATTAAGTACGGAGAATGCGACTTGGAGCTGCTAACATTGTTGCACCAGTGTATGGAGAATGCGACTTGAAGCTGTTAACATTGTTTCACCACTGTATGGAGACTGCGACTTGGAGCTGTTAACATTGTTACACCAGTGTGTGGAGAATGCGACTTGGAGCTGTTAACATTGTTACACCAGTGCATGGAGAATGCGACTTGGAGCAGCTAACATTGTTACACCAGTGTATGGAGAATGCGAATTGGAGCTGTTAACATTGCTACACCAGTATGGAGAATGCGACTTGGAGCTGTTAACATTGTTACACCAGCGTATGGAGAATGCGAGATGGAGCTATTAAGTACGGATAATGCGACTTGGAGCTGCTAACATTGTTGCACCAGTGTGTGGAGAATGCGACTTGAAGCTGTTAACATTGTTTCACCACTGTATGGAGACTGCGACTTGGAGCTGTTAACATTGTTACACCAGTGTGTGGAGAATGCGACTTGGAGCTGTTAACATTGTTACACCAGTGCATGGAGAATGCGACTTGGAGCAGCTAACATTGTTACACCAGTGTATGGAGAATGCGAATTGGAGCTGTTAACATTGCTACACCAGTATGGAGAATGCGACTTGGAGCTGTTAACATTGTTACACCAGCGTATGGAGAATGCGAGATGGAGCTATTAACATTGTTACACCAGTGTAAGGAGAATGCGACTTGGAGCTACTAACATTGTTACACCAGTGTACGCAGCCCCACTTGCCCATGACTGCCGTTGTATTGGGCACCCTTTTTGGAGTTCTCCAGTATCAGTGGCGGAAGGTGAGACAACGAGCATCTGACCCGGGCCTCTGCCAGGAGATAAGAGAGCATGCGGGGAGAGGCCACTGCAACGTGCGAGGACTGAAAGTCGCAAAATCCTGCTACACTGTCTTGAAACGCCCCCCCCTTGGTTTTCCTTGAAGACGCGACCAAAAAGAGAGAGTTTCCGCAAAGAATACCCAAAGAGCCACACATGGCTACTGTCGCGGGTGAAGCCGCCCCGGCATCAGCCGCGCGCTCCTGGGGCAATGCGCCATGGTGGAGCTCTTTGCACCGCGCTTGCATCTCAAGCAGCAAGCACATCGCCTGCGCGCGCACCAAATGCGGGCGTTCTGAGGAAACTGAGTTTTACTGGCCGAACTTAGACGAAGCAACCACAAACAAGCAGGTTTAGGCTTTAGGGTTTAGGGTTTCGGGTGTTTTGGGCTTCAAGGATGGATGGACATGCAAGCGGAAACGCATCAGATCCATGATTCACTCATTCTGGGGCCAAGCCAAAGAAATGATAGGGAGGGGGGGGAGACACGCAAACTCTGAATGCGTGGGTGAACAAACAAAAACCAGACACAGCTGGCTTGCAAGATCAACCTTGACAAAGGTGACCTCCTTATTCGTGACACAGCCGACAAGTCCAAGAGGGTCATACTGCATTGCGCAAGAGGCCGGGGACAAGGACATGCAGCGCATGGCCACATTTCCTCGCAGTGCCATGCGTATCTTTGTGCACTGAATGCGTAGCTTGCAATCGGACATGGGCAACAATATTTAAGCTGCTTGCTGTGCTGAAACTGTTTCATAAGACGGTTGCCCGGCACAGCCCCTGCTACATCTTGAAAACCAGGGGGGAATCTAGAATACCATTCCCGGCGCTGCTTGTAGCCTTCACGGGCGCTGGCACAAAGCCCACCCGTTTTTAGAAATGGTGGTTTGTACCTGCATGTCCTCGTCGTAAGACTGCAAAGGCCAAGGCAAATTCAAGTGCTGTACAAATGAAAAGGAAGACTTGCCGCAAGAGTCATGCTTGGATTCCGCATGCATCCATAAGATGTGGGGCTGTGGCAGGCGCGCGACCAGGCGCAAACGTCCAAGAGGGCAGAAGTGTACACAATACAAACCAGCAAAACCAGCGACGCCTCTGCCGTGATCTTTCGACGGACTCGCACCTCCTGTGGACAAAATGCGTGATGCAAGCATGCAACTCGCACTCGAAACAGGCAGCTAGCCGTAGTCAATGACAACATGTTCCACATTCACGCCCCCGTTGCCATGTTGCTTTCTTTCACTCTCCGCCTGGAGAGGCCGCTCTCTCTTTCCCTTCGTTGTATCACTTTCAAGATTTGACGCCGAATCTCGATGCTGAGGCTCCTAGCTGGCCAACTGCTGGGCTCAAGATCAAGATGCACAAGCAAAAATGTGGGTGGGGAACATCTAAAAGTGCTAATTATGGTGGTGTTCCACTTAGGCTAAACATTGCTCTGCGAGCTTTTCCAGTACCCAGGACAGAAAACATCTCGCAGGGATCTTTGGCCGTCCTTTTGCAGCCGAGCTTTCCACAGGTTCTCCTTGCCAGTGTTCAGCCTTCCCGACTGCTGCTCCTGGGCTGCAGCTAGTCAGGCGGCACGCCAGGTCAAGCAACCACGTCGTTGGCACGTGGTGCAACACACATTGAACAGACCTATTGGTAGGACCTATCAAGCATACCGGATCATGCTCGATTCCTGGACGTTTTTCGGTGCGTTCACGAAAACTGGCCGAGGCGGTCAATGGAAGGCCGTCTCACTTACGGGACATGCGACTGCACAGGATGCAAACTGCTCAACTCCCCACCTCAATCCATAGCAACACTTCCATCCGACTGACTCTACTCAATCAAGGCTCACTGCAACTTGCGGTGATCTTGTCGCAAACTTGTGGATTCTTTCCGCGTGTGTTGGACCATGTTGGCTCAATCATGTCCAAGAGGATTAACTCCAGCCATGACTTTGTTCAAAAGGGCTAAACATGATAGTCAGGCACCTGTGAAGCAGCTGTAAAACTGCCGCGCTGTTTCACCTGAAGCATGACTCCGACGAAAGGGAATGCCTTCAAGCACATGAGTTGGCGTGTTTCTCGAAAACATGATTCAAGGTGTGACAAAAGCGGCAAGAGAGCTCTCCCCTGAAATCCGAATGCCTATGCCTGCACTTGGAATAAACCAAACACTTGGTTGAGTCCACAAATCCTTCCCCGCCGGGCCCGCACCTACTTGCCGAATCCCACTCCGCAACTCTTGCATAGAGGCCTCAAGTTACAAGCGTATGGCAACCGCGCTGAGCCTCATTTTTTTCGGAGCAGCGAAGGCCAACAAAAGGAGTTCTGTCAGTCAACGAGTAGCAACTGATCCTCGGAAAAGCCTTCAGCGCTGCGAAAATCCAACGGAGTCGCTTTTCAGCCCAAAAACTTGCAGAGTGATATGTTGCGCATCGCAAGCGCACGAGCGAGTCATCCGGCAATTGACGTGTCGTATGGAGCAACGCAACTGTTCGCTAGGCCAATCGCATGCCTTGTCCAAACTGGGAACAAGCGGATGATGCGGCTCTGCACGACCTAAGCACTTAGCGCCTAGCAAGCGTTAACACCATGAATCAGCCTATGTAACTCCCCGTTCTGTTTTGACTCCAGCCTGCCTACTATGCAGCAAAGCATCGATGATCTTCTCCAGCCTCTTCAGCTCAAGCCAGCGCAGTCGTTTGAACATAGCCTGGCAGGCAACACTTGCAGACCTGGGGCAGGGGGGCAAGGCTCCAATGCTTGCCCCTGCACAGCGGCACGGAACAACGAGGTTGATCAAAGTCAAAGGGAACGTGGGTATGTGTCAAGAAGGTGGGTCTTTCTGGCGGCTTAAGGGAAACCGACAAATCAACCCCATGCGTTTCGAGGAGACACTGATTGACAGCCGAATGGCTGAATGAAAATGAGAAGGCCGTTTCAGCCGAACCGGGACATATGCACCGAGTTCGAAACAGGTTCAGCCGCTGCAGGATGACATCCACACGTACCAACAAGTTCTGCATCTACGGTTAAACAAATGGCCTCATGTTCCATGGGCCCGAACCATTTGTGGCATCTCAGGCATACCCCCCCCTTCCAACTATAAACAAAAGGTATAACTAAGGCGCATGCGTTCAAGGCAAAATGGCGGGCCTTGCCAGTTGCCCGTATGCCGCCTGGATGCGTGTTGTTGAACATGATAATACTACAACGTATGCATGCTGCTTAATGCTAAACGCTGGGAGTGAAGAGCAGAGTTGGGGAATGTCTTGCTCAAGGCTTGCAACATGTCTTGCAAATCAACTTTTTGCGAAAGGTTGAGCAAACAAAATAATGACTATCTATTGTTGTCGGACTGCTTCCGTGATTCGAATCGATTGAAGGGAGGCTGAACCAGCATGATGACCTGTGTACCTTGAAAGGTCGTGTGGGCACTGGTGTCCTTTGGGGCTGTGTAGAAGGGACAGGTTATTTTTTCAACTTGTTTTGTCTGAAGGAGGCATTGCTTGATTCAGACCCAACAAGCTTAATCGCTCGTCCACTTGTAGTAATGGGTGCGCCATGTCCTCCATGCTTTGCAAAAACTTCCCGAGATGTTGCCTTCAGCTTCAACTCATGGCAACACTTGTCTAAGGGTCTGTAGTGATGCCCTGTTGCAAGTCGTATGCAAAAAGAGGATCTAACAAACCTGCAACATGAAACCAATGCCTTTCCTCAAGCCTAGCTGTCCCCAGCTACCCCTGCTTGACCAAACCTGGGACCTCCCCTGCCTCACGGCGGGCAATGCGCTCTAAGCTGTTCTCCAGCATGAATCCACGGTACCTGGGTCATGTGAGCCCCATTCAAATGATTTCCCCCCCTTTGGAACACCCGGGCTCATGCGCGGAGAGTGGGGAACTCTGAGCATGGTTGTTCTTTCTCGCAATTAACTTACAAGAGGTTCAATATTTGCGAGCGTGTGCTTCCATATCATGTATTGGTGTGGGTGCGCGCATTTTTGAATTGATAGTAAAACATTCAGGTATTTCAGTTGGTCAGGCTGAAGTAGATCAATGTTTGTTCACACGCTTAAGTGTTTGCTTGGTTCCATCTGTGCAATGACAATGCCCAGTATCTATATGTTTGCATCGGCTAAAACATAGACAAAACATGACAAAACTCTCGTTTATCAGCAAACTGATCTAACAATAACAAAACAGGTCAAAGCACACCAACGGTGTATTCCTAATCAATCCATCTAGATCCACCTACTCAACTACTGTTTGTTTACCTACCTATCTACTGATCTATCTATCTATCGATCAAGCTAGCTATCTATCTAGAGGATCTTTCGAATTTATCACCTTCAATTTCCCTAAACATCTCTCTATCCATCAATCTTTCTGCTGATGTTGCGAAAGTGCTGCGCCTGCCATGCAATCTGCGATTGAGAGCTGCACCTACCAGGCAATCTGCGCATGACTGTTCGGAAGTGCTGTGCTTGCCCCGAAAGTGCTGCGCCTGCCACATACTCTGCGCATGACCTTGCAAAAGCGCTGCGCCTGACACAAAGTCTACACCCGCAAGGGGCAGAACTTGATGTCGCCCTCTTTGCTTCAACTCGCACGAAAGTCTTAATAATTCCTGGGTTTCCGGAGGCCCGAGTGTGGGAAGGTTCTGAGGAACTCCCGGAGAACGGGGCACCACGTCACTACAAGGGAGGCCACGAGTATTTGGCATAAGGATTGAGGATTGATCAACCCAACTACATACTGACCCCTATATACCCTATATACCATCCCCAGTGGTTTCCTCCAAGGGAATGGCTACACTCATTCCCAAACATCTGGGTACGATACGTTTTTCTTCGCACAGGGCACTTCTCCAGCTTCTGACCAGACAGCACCAGCAGCCAACTGGAGATCTCGTTGGCGCGGGTGCGGTTCTCCTGGGCTCAGCCGTTCCTTCGGGCAAATGAGCCATGGGTCAAAAGCCAAATCCTACCCCCGGTGAACATCCCAATCCAACCACTAAAATAGACTAAAACGGGTGGTGCACCTACCCCAAAATGGTACCATTGGTTTTGACCCACAGCCACCTAGGTGCCCTACCCCAGACTAACATGGAAGCTCCCAGGACCGCTTCGGAAGACTTGGTTTCATTTGCAGAGGCCTCTGAGGGAGTGTAGGTGAAACGCACCTTCGCTCGCAAATCGTTGGAGCCTTTTTGAGAAGTAATATTTTGCGAAGATTCAGTATAACTGGCTCATACCAGACCAAACAAGCAATTATTTCAAGACCGGCACCATCCGACAGTATGCTGGATTGGGGTTGGCACTTCAACACCAATCCTGCAAGTGCAAGCAGGTCAACAGTCAGCTGGCATGAGAAAAGGCAAAAACATCGTGACAATGGTGTAAAGTTTTGTCTTTGGGGGGAACCCCAATCAGCTTTCCTTTGCTTAAGCCCCCGGAAAACAAAAAAACATGTCCAGTAGTCATGGATTCCCTTTAAAACCAACAGGGGACAGTAACAAATATTCTTAAGCAAATGGAAGTCAATGGGTGCTTGCTCTTCGGCAGAGTTAATGAACCCGATTGCCAAAATACTGCTTGCTCCTATCGCTCCTATGTTACGCCCGAGCCATCGAATGCTCGCTCAGAATCTATACTGCTTTAGTGGGTGCCCTATGGCGAGTAGAGATTGGGGACAAGGGAAGAGTCAAACATAGAATCCTAAAGATATAGAACAACTAAAAGAAGTGAACCAAACCAAGAAATTAATACACATAAAAACAACAACAAAGTAACATCATATATTAAGGTAGGGAATTCGTGACAAGATTAATATAATGATATCAGAAACAAATGAAAGGAATTACCACTATCATTGTAGGACTTTGTTACACGCCGGCAAATCCCTGAAGAACTTCTGTTAACTCTGTGTGTTATTATGTGTAACATATAGAACCGAAAAGGATAGATTCATGTTAAGATAATTTGCAGGATTTCGAGGTTCTTATCTTCACTCCAAAGGTAGCACATGGCGATGAAATAACATGTTGCTCCAAACAACCATCCCACCTCCAGGCTCTTACCATAGGCACGCCTCTGCTTTCATGTTGAAACGCCTTGCTAACCTCCCCCCCCCCCCGGCTCCCCTGACCAATTCAATCCTCGTACATCTTCTTCAGAGTGCCCACTGAGCGCTTCAGAATGGTGTACTCGGACCGTGCTGTGTCAAGGTCCGACTGCAGCCGGGTCTCCGCGAGCTTTCCTGGGCATGGACAGGATTGGCTCGAACATGGCACGGAACTCGAAGTGTACCGGGGGAGTTGGGGAGTAGGCTTCGGTGTCCCTTTCAAAACTTAAAACTAAGCTACCACGCTGGCCCAATGGGCAAAGTACCACAGGGAAAGCCCTGGCTGGGGAGGCCAAGGAAGCGGAAATCCTCAGATGGATCCTTTTGAAGGCTTCAGTGCTCGGAAATCCATGGTGCACAGGTAAGACGGCAAATCTGAAAAGGGAATGCAAAGGAGTCCTAACCATGTTATTCATATGTTGAGGTGTGATCATCGCTTAAAATTGAAGGCGAGCAACCGTTCATGTCAGCCAGCGACCTGCATGAATTCCAAGCCAACCCTAGAGCCAGCGGCAAGAAATGCAGAAGAACACCGCTCTTCCCAGGGTGAGGAGACGAATACGGCAAAAACAGTTCGGTGGACATGAGTTACGCGGCACTGATTTCCCCAATCATTCTTGAAAATGTCCAACATTAAAGTCATCACCTCACCACAGGTCAACTTGATCAACATTGGCCCAAACTTTGGTCACCTAAAGAGGAACTTCATATTGAGCACCCGGTGCGTCCGATTGCCGTTCCAGCATCTACGGGCCGCCTGCTTTTCGGCCTGCTCCTTGTACCCGTCGTTGCGCCTTTGCTGTTCGAACATCTCCGCCTTGTAGTCTTTCTCCGCCTTCCTGAGACACAAGGACGTAAAACGCATTTGGTCACCTGAGCATCTTTCTTGCGACTCCCCAGTCAAAAAAAGCATTTCCAGCAGAAAAGGGAACGTGCTCTTTGGGTGGGGTACACCCTTTCTGAAGGAACGGCCACCTGGACTTTTTGGGCAAATTCTGCTGGCCAAACAAAACTGCACATATGGGCTTTCCACAAGGGTTATGACTGCTAGCGTCTAAGTGAAGGAACCAAACAGTTCTTCGTGCTGCCTCGGTGTGCAGGAATTCCGCTTCACAGGCCCCTGCCGGCAAAACTACCCAAACGATATGTTCTGGCCTTCTTGTTGGGACATGGTGGCCCACTCCAATCCCAAACTGACCAGTGGCGCAGAGTGACCAGCCATCAGTCTGCGCCAAGCGGCTTCAGGTTGGCATGCGTCGTGTTGAACTCATTGATGTCGGCCACCACTAACCTGATTTATTTTTTGCCTTGCAAGCCTCAAGCGTCAGAAACAACTTTGGGCATCACAGGCTCAGCCAACAATATTCATACTCTGGGCTGTCCTCAGATCTCCTGCTAAAAGTTTACCTTTTAGTAGGTTAAGTGGAAACTACCCCGAAACCCACTACAAACAACTACTGTCGACCGAAGCCACTAAGTTGAACCCTGAAGCCACTAGCAAAAACTCAAACGTCAAGAACTCGCTGCAGCGGAAGAAACCTGCATAGCCTAAGGACTGCCAACAATAAGCCTGAGAGGCTTTGAAAAGATGTAATTGCAAAGGATCCTAGCACAAAAAAAAAGAGCAATAAGCTACACTTCCTTGGGCTCAGGATTGATGACATGATGACACGACCAAACCCGAATGGCATTAAAATGGCTCCAACTGCTGAACCTGTCACCAGCACGCCATCCAATCCATCCACATCTAACATCCAATCCATCCAATCCATCCAATCCATCCAATCCATCCAATCCATCCAATCCATCCAATCCATCCAATGCATCCAATGCATATCCATTCATGCATCCACCCAGTCCAGTCCAGTCCAGTCCAGTCCAGTCCAGTCCAGTCCAGTCCAGTCCAGTCCAGTCCAGTCCAGTCCAGTCCAGTCCAGTCCAGTCCAGTCCAGTCCAGTCCAGTCCAGTCCAGTCCAGTCCAGTCCAGGCCAGTCCAGTCCAGTCCAGTCCAGTCCAGTCCAGTCCAGTCCAGTCCAGTCAGTCCAGTCCAGTCCAGTCCAGTCCAGTCCAGGTCCAGTCCAGTCCAGTCCAGTCCAGTCCAGTCCAGTCCAGTCCAGTCCAGTCCAGTCCAGTCCAGTCCAGTCCAGTCCAGTCCAGTCCAGTCCAGTCCAGTCCAGTCCAGTCCAGTCCAGTCCAGTCCAGTCCAGTCCAGTCCAGTCCAGTCCAGTCCAGTCCAGTCCAGTCCAGTCCAGTCCAGTCCAGTCCAATCCAATCCAATCCAATCCAATACAATCCACCCATCCACCCATCCATCCCTCCGTCCACCCATCGATCCGTCCACCCACCCACTCACCCACCCAGCCAGCCATACATCCGTCCAGCCACCCAATCCATCTGACCATCCAATCCATCCATGCAATCCATCACCATCTAACCCATCCAACCCATCCATCCCATCCAATCCAATCCAATCCAATCCAATCTAATCCATCCATAAATCTATCCAAACTGCTATTATTCAACGAATTTGTTTATTCAATCATATGTTGCTCGTTGATTTACTTCCTTGCGCGTAATATGCATGTTTGTTGTGACCAAGCTATGCACACACACACACACACTGCCACAAGCGTTGACATCGTTTGGATGTGAGAGCAGCGTTTTGCCGCTCAGCAAGTGCCAGTTTGCCAAATAAACTGTCTCTTCATCTCTGCTGCCATCTCTCGTCTTTTGCTTGTTTTTACAGTCTGCCTCCCTCCCTCGCTCCGGCTTTCGAGCTGCTTTCGTTCAGGTCATGTCTTCCCTAAAATTCTGGCCTCCAGTCAAGGCTCGTTGAAGCGGGCCGGACGATTGGTCAGCTTCGGTGAATGGAGTTGGGCACCGTTGTGACATACAGCGAACTACTTGCCTTCCATTTGCTTCAGCCTGGGAAAAATAAGCATATTTCCAGTAGCGACAAATTCCCTTTGAAACCAACAGAGAAAACAAAACAGTGCTCCTAAGCAAATGGACGTTGCCGCACTTTCACTCACAAGAAAACAATGGAGTGCTTGTTACCAACCAAGCTTTCTAAAATTCAGCCAGGTTTGTGGCTTGCCCCCCATGGCGATATTTCCCACTTGTCCAGCTGGTGCTCTGCATGTCTAAAGCCACGTGAGAATGACCTGAAATGGCAACTGCAGCACAACTCCATCCCCAAATGCCGATGTTTCCTGCCCTTGCCAACCAGCTTGCAAATCAGGAAAACAAAGGCCACGCAGACCTTGCAACCATCCAGCAGGCAGACACTTTCCTGTCATTGCTCAACAATTGTTCGCAATCCGATTCTACCACCGTGATCAGTGTTCTAGCCTTCCAAACGCTGGCCCTGGAACGCCCATCCAAAGTAGCAGTCCTTTAAAGATCCTGTCAGAAGGACACCAAAGAAACTTCACCGATTGTCGGCTGCATTTCGGTCTGTGGACAAACCGTGCAGCTTCCATCCTCACTGCAAAGGACTCAAGACATTAACGCCAATCCCACCAACTTTTAGTTCGCCATCCCATCCTAGCGCACAGAAAAGGAAACCAGCAATACCAGCAATTCTCCAAATCAAGTTTTTGAACCCTTTCTTAAAACAAATTGCTGCATTGGTTGACAACCCACCAATTTGGTGTGGTTTCCACCAGTTTTCTTGCTGGTGCTTAGCAGGGAATAAACAAATCAACCGCAAGGGGAACCACCTTTCTCGGGTTTTCATTCCCTTTCTCATTCCCTGCACATCTCGAGCACCGATCGCAAGTTTCTCGCTTCCCCGTTTCATCCAGTGGCTGCAGTGCCTCCTTGCACCTTCGCAGGAAGCTCCGTGCCTCTGAGGAGGTGCGATTCCGGCACTTCCTCGCTGCACCCAAGGTGCGCGAGGAAAACACGGTGAACGCGGTCAGGGGGGTCCCCGGGATTTTTTTTGGGTCCCCCAAAAGATTCCTGAAAAATGCACGGCTTTTGTTGTGTTTGCTGAGTTTTCATGTAAATCTGGGAGAGCTTGAGTTGGGCCAGGGAATTTGCGGACAGAACATGGCGACAAGGCTGGGCCTGTGTTGTCTGGTTCTGGTGGACCAGGTCTTTTAGGAGGGTTTTGGGTGAGACCATTGTCCCGCATCCCGGTTCGCCCATTGACCAGTATCCCGGTTCGCCCATTGAATGGTTCCACCTTAGCAAGTCCTTGACTTTACTCGGTTGCTTTCTGCTCCCCTGCTAAAAGTCACTAACTTTTTTGCGATTTAATTCGGAAAACCCCGAAAAGTTGGCAAAAAGTTCTCAGGTCCTAACATCCCTTGGCAAATTGCACCAAAGTTTCCTGTGGCTGGCCAACCAGAATTTGCAGAAGTCGCCAGGAGAGGCGATCCCTGTGAAGAGTTCTTGGCCGTAGCTTTACCCCACTTGCTTACTGGATTCGTGTTCCCGGTGGCCAAAACACCCCGGTTTCTCAGCCAGCAGCCCCTACACAGGCCAGGTGCCAATAGGGCGCTGGAGGACTCCCGCCTCCAACCCTTCTTGCAAATTTAGAATATTCTAGCTGTTTGTTGCGGATTGGCATGCTTTGTCGCCACATGCACTGGTGCAAAGAGAAGTCAAGCCCTGGTAGATGGGAAATCCTTTGCGTGGGGTCTCTTGGAGAAAGGTCGAGAGTGCTGACGCAAATCTGAAAATTGTGAAACACAAGGCATTCACGGACACCGCACCAGCATCCATGGCCAAAGCAAAGGCAAACACAAGTACGACACAAAGTAAACAGGACGAGCCCTGACAACACCAGGAAATATAGGGCGCAGTCGTTGCATAGTCTACGAATCATCGTTGCTTACACCAAGCGCTACATGTATTTAATTCATATATACTTCACTTAGACTTCTGTTTGACATATTAGTACCTCGCACTATTCTGCATATGTGTACTTTGGTTCATCACCTCAGGCAAGAGAACCAACCCCAACTTGTCATGAACCAGCGGAGCAACCTAAATACGAGCGTACATGTGCGTACCGATATATAGCGCAAATATATGGGAGTGCGCATGTGTCAACATAGGGATTCGGACCTCTCCCCGAATCCAAACTAAAAAGGGTATCTGCGGAAGAAAAACAGCCCGTTAACTTGCTGGTGCTCAGTGGGAAAGGGGGAATGAAGCCAGAGGTTCCCTTAAAGGAAGCCACCCGTTGGATGGTTTATCAGGGTCAGTCCATTTCTCGTTCCCTACCTACCGCAACAGCAAGAAAAGCTGCATTGGCCCTGGTGAGACGCATAAACTGATCGCCAAGCGGCTCAAGATCTGCCAGCTGCTTTGTCACACTTTGCTTGGAGACCTGGCCATTGGATTGAAGGCTGTTTCACTGCGCGCGCCTGAGGAAGTACGCCAAAGCACTCCAGGCAACGTAAGGATACATCTGTACACATAAGTGGGTGTGTGTGTGTAAGTAAGTAGTATAT